TCTGAATGCCCAGGCCTATCCTAAAGACATGGAAACACTACAAAAATCAACTTTGAAGAATTGCATTTTCTCGCGTGGATAGAAGGGAAGGGTATAGAGACAAAGGAAGTAACAGTGATTTGGCCTGGCATGTACCTTGCAAAATATTGGGATTTTACTCATCACAAACTTGGGTGGGGTGTATGCAGCTGTTCTAAGTTTACAGGGAGAGGAGACAGGTTATAGATGTTAACTACCTGGCCACAAGTCAGGTAAGTATAATATCATGACTGAGCTAGAATTTCTGTCAGCACTTAGCTCTGTCCATTTAAGGGGGCTTATCTAAGAAAGGTGTTGAACAGTAGCTTTGAACTCACCTGATCTTTTTGTTTTATTTTGTTCTTATTCACTTATTTCCTTCTTTATTTATTTTAGCTGGTTCTGATTCTTATTTGGACCACAGGATGTTTGTTTCTAATCCCTTGTTTTCCTGTTTGTAAAATGTTGATAATAATACATATCACCTAAGTTTCTTATGTACATAAAGTTTTAATAAATGCTGAATCCCCATTTATCACTCAAAGGAAAAAAAAAAAAAAGAAAGAGGAAAAAGTATCAACAACTGAAAAAGTGGCCCAGATATTTGAGATGAAAACTGAAAGGAGCTCACGTATAAGTCATATTCACTTGGCACTTTCCCCCTTCCTCTCTCAAGGTTTTTATTTTTTCCAGCTGTCTTGCCTTACTACAAAATATGGGTTATTTTGGTTATAAATGAGTAAATTCTGTTTCGATTTGAAATGGGAACTGATGAATGTTGTAGGTAGACCAGATGTCTCAAAGCATTTTTTGTCCACCTGTTCAGAGAGTAACTGGATTGTTGGGGGACTGTGCATTGACAACTGGGGGAACCATAAGTGAAAAACAGATGATCCCACCCAAACACATCTGATCTCAGCCATATCACTACTTTTAGGTCTTAGGTAGGTGATGGATTGGAAATATATCAGGCAACAGAACAAGTAAGATAGTTTCTCACTGAGACTTAGATTGCCTGGTGGCAATGAGATTTACATAAATACTTTTAAAAAAACCCTGAAGTGATTTTTTCCCCCTATTGATAAATTAATTCGTGCTTGCTACCAAGCATTTATTATGAATTCTTAATGAAATTAGTATCATTGGAATCATTAATAATGTCATTAATATTATGAATAATTAATGAACTAATATCACTTATTAGCAAACTAAGAAAAAGTGAATAGGAAGGAAAACTTCTCAGCTCACTATATAAGGCTGGTATGCTTTGATTTGAAAACCAGATAGAAACATCACAAGAAAATTACAGACCAGTATCACTTATGAATATAGATGTATACATCTTCAGCAACATATTAGCAAACCAAAAGCAGCAATATCTGAAAAGGGTTATACACCATGGCAAAGTGTGATTTATCCAAGGAATTCTAGGTTGGTTTAACATCTGAAAGTCAATGTAATATACTGTATCAGTAAAATAAAGAATATGCCATTGGACACAGGAAGAGCATTTGAAAAAGTCCAGCACCCTTTCAAGATAAAAAAACACTCAACAAACTTGGATTATAAGGCCATTTCCTCAACCCGATAAAGGGCATCTACAAAAAACCCCATACCTAATCTTATGCTTAATGCTAAAAGATTGAATGCTTTCCCTTTAAGATCAGGAAACAAAATAAGGGTATTAAGTCTCACCCCTTCCATTCATTATTGTGCTGGAAATTCTAGCCAAAGTAATTGAGGGTGGGAAGGAGACATTCTGATTGGAAAGGAAAAAGTAAAACTATCTGTATTTGCAGGTGAAATGATCTTATGTGTAGAAAATACTAAGAAACCCACTTAAAAAAAACAATTAAATCTAATAGATAATTTCAGCAAGGTTGGGGGATAAAAAGTAAATATGCAAAAATCAATTGTATTTCTCTACACTAGTAATCAACAATTCCCAAATCAAATTAAGAAATCAATTCTATTTGCTATAGCATCAGCAAGAAAAAAAAATACTTAACAGATATGTTTAATGAAAGATGTGATAAACTTGTATTTTAAAAGCTATATAATGTTGAAGAAGAAAATTAAAGAAGACCTAAATGTATATAAAGACATCCCATGTTCATGGATCAAGAGACTTAATATTGTTAAGAAGTCAATATTCTCAAAATTAATCTTTACAAAAAAATTTTTTTGTAAAGATTTTATTTATTCATTTGAGACAGAGAGAGAGAGAGTGAGTATAACCAGCCAGGAGGGGCACAGGGAGAGAGAGAAGCAGACTCCCCGTTGAGCAGGGAGCCCAACTCAGGGCTACATTCCAGGACCTGGAGATCATGACCTGAGCTGAAGGCAGACACTTAACCAGTTGAGCCATCCAGGTGCCCATGATCTGCAATTTTAATGTAAATTTCATCAAAGTTGCTGTTGGCTTTTCTTTTTCCCTTCTTCTTCTGCTTCTTCTTCTTCTTCTTCTTCTGCTGCTGCTGCTGCTGCTGCTTCTACTTCTGCTTCTTCTGCTGCTTCTGCGTCTGCTTCTCCTGCTTCTGCTTCTTCTTCTGCTTCTTCTGCTGCTTCTGCTTCTCCTTCTTCTGCTGCTGCTTCTCCTTCTTCTGCTTCTGCTTCTCCTGCTTCTGCTTCTGCTTCTTCTGCTTCTTCTTCTGCTGCTGCTGCTTCTGCTTCTTCTGCTGCTGCTTCTTCTGCTTCTGCTTCTTCTGCTTCTGCGTCTGCTTCTTCTGCTTCTGCTTCTTCTGCTTCTGCTTCTGCTTCTTCTTCTGCTTCTGCTTCTTCTGCTTCTGCTTCTGCTGCTTCTGCTTCTTCTGCTTCTTCTGCTTCTGCTGCTTCTGCTGCTGCTGCTGCTGCTTCTGCTTCTCCTTCTTCTGCTTCTGCTTCTCCTGCTTCTGCTTCTGCTTCTTCTGCTTCTTCTTCTGCTGCTGCTGCTTCTGCTTCTTCTGCTGCTGCTTCTTCTGCTTCTGCTTCTTCTGCTTCTGCGTCTGCTTCTTCTGCTTCTGCTTCTTCTGCTTCTGCTTCT